GATGATGGATGGTGGATGGATGATGATGGATGGTGGATGGATGATGATGGATGGATTAAAAATGAAGAAGAGGTGTAACAACATGTAACAGAGTAACAGCTGATGTTGTGTCATCCCTGTTTTCTCTGTGATCTTCATCCGATCTGTTCGGAGATGGTTGTTTTTATTTGTCACCTGCCGCGGAGCAAAAAGGAGGAACGGTGAAACCGTCCGTCCGTCCATGAACGCTGAGCACCAAACTAGACAAGTGAGGTTCCTGACTGACTCCATGTTGGTGCTGCTGCATCTTCTGAGGACGCAAGAAAAGCTCCTGGGCTGCAAGGAGGCCAACAGGTCGTGTGAGGACACTCCGCTTTCTACGTTGCTTAAAAATAACGTTTCCTCAAATGATCGGGGTGGCCAAAGACTAAACTATAGGGGCCAAGGCCACCATTGGCCACCCCCTGGCTCCACGTCTGGTGGTGATAAAACGTCTCCCTCAGCTCACCTGGATCCATCACTCTGCTCCACCTCAAACAAATCAAAATCAAAACCTCCATCTGTTCTTCTCCACAGTGAAACTGAGAACGTGTCAAAAACATTTAGGTTTACGTCACTCTCTGTTCCAGTCCAGAAAAACACTCGTTTTAAAACTACAAACATTCACTCCCCTCGGAGACACCAGAGTTTTTCGTTTGTTTCTTCACATGACAGGAGCAGAGGTATGAAATGTGAAACTGACCTGCTGACTGGAGGAGCTGCGGACGTCGTCTGGAAATAAAACCAACAGTCACGTCTGCACGGACATGTCTCACCGAGGAACAACATTTATATAAAGACAAACCATCGTACCTCTTTGTCAGGAACTTCATAAAAGTCTGAAAAAGACCAAAAAGGCTGAAATTAGCCAGATGCTGATGGTGAAGAACTCTGACTCTCCTTAAGCGTGAAGATCCACCTGACCCGTGACATTTTCCTTCTTCTTTAGACTTTTTTTTTTAAAAAGTTGAACCTTTTAGTGTGAAAATATTTGCCAACAACCTGCAGGAGACAACAGAAGCTTCCTTCCCTCCATTTGTCTGAGCCAGCACAGGATGGAGACACTGGTCCTAAACCAGAGGTGTCCAGATGTTTTCATCATGGAGCTCCTTTTAAAATGACCAGGTCAAAGTGATCCACCTGCTGTAAGGCCCCGTCCACACAGAACAACCTCTGGAAACTTTAGTGTTTTTTCAATGTTTATTGGGGTAGTAAACAAAAAATGAGCATGTTTACATGACAACGCTGTAGTTTCCATGTCAGTCGGGTTGCCAGATAAGAACTGATGAACTATTTGCCAGATAAGAACTGATGA